TATGTTACCCCCAAAGACATACACAACTCTCTCTCTCCCTTTCTTCCCTCTCTCACAACTCTCTCCTCTCTCTCTCTCTCTCTCTCTCTCTCTCTCTCTCTCTCTCTCTCTCTCTCTCTCTCACACACACACACACACACACACAGACACCTCTGAACAAAAACATTCTCTATGCATCCCTTACCGTTATTATCGGCATCACACATGGGTGTTTTTAATTCCACTCTTCTCTGTTTTTATTACCAGCACAGATGACGGTCAAGACCTAATTTGGTTTTATTATCCACAAATGGATGAAATGGCCTGCTTATTCATGTATTTATCCACAAAGCATTCATTCCCACACGAACCATTTTACCCTTGTAACCATTCGTAAAGTAGATGGCTGCTTCCGGCTGCCTCTCTACAGATGCTGCTGCTGAGGCTTGGAGGAGAGGTGACCTGTCTGTAGGCACAGCTGAGAAACATTTGAGAGAAGAGTTGTGACCATGAGGATAGTAAATAGGGGACTAGTAACCCCAAATCAGTCATTTGGAGGCCAAGACTGTATATACCTTTAATTTCAGCAGAGGCAGGGTCTCTGTGAGTTCAAGGCCAGTCTGGCCTCCATAGAAAATCTCAGGACAGCCAGGGATGCACAGTGAAACCCTGTTTCAAACAAAGTCACTTTTGAATCAAGCTCTTATAATAGTTGTTTGCTGAGTACCTTACTATATACCAGGCAGAGGAGCTCTGCAGACTGAAGCAGATACACTATTCGAGGAGAGCAGAGGCAGGGGGATTCGTGGGGGATGAAGTGCGGACCTCAGAGAGATGTGGTTCAGAATAGAATTTTGTAATTTTTATTGTATTTAATGCCAGCACTGGGGCAGGGTTGGCTAAGTCACTAAGATAGAGAATGAGTGGCTCAACAATGATGGCTGGGCCTGTGTACGGTTGGTGCATGGGATGAGGGTGGTGGGGTGGGGGATGACAACACAACAGTTGAACCGGTCCAGACTGATTGAGGAAGAGGAGCAGAAGGATGAGATGGAGACCTGAGCAAAAGCTGCAATGAAATACTATAAAAGAGAGATCAGCTGGGGGAGGCTTGGAGGATGGCTGAAAGAGGTTAGACGAGGGCCCCAGAGACAAGGTTTTGTAAAAAAATCATTTGTTTTGCTTCCAGAATTAATTGTTATAACTCATAAAAACGTGTGTCTGTCTGAACTCTTTTGGCTTCCAGCTTTTACTTCTGGAATGAAGAGCTCATTCGGTTCCCAAGAAAGACATGCCTGTGCTTTAATTTTAGGATCACTACGATTGGGGACTTCGTGCTGTGAAGTCTGTCTTGGTTGTAGCTGGCTCCCTGAAACGAGGAGACAAAAATAGACCCGAAGACCAGGTACTGCAGTGCTAAGTGATGTTGCAGAGTGAGTGGCTAAATGGCTTCAGACAGACGGAAGCGTGTATCTGGCTGGGGAGGCACACATAGCCCCATTTAGCTAAAAACATCTATTCTTAATGTACAATATTTTAAGGGTTGGCATTTCATGTAAGTGGTCACAAGTGTTCCTGACCTACAGAGATGGGAACCTGGGAAGGAAAATGTGACTTTTTATGAGTGCTTTTGAAATATCAACCGCAAAAGGTATTTTTGACAGATATAATAAACTAGCTTAGTAATCACTGTTTGATTTCCTTTAAGGAAATGTTGAGGAACTCCAATAAATAAAGTTGGGTATTAATCCTGAAAAGTCAGTGAGCACACAGTCAGTCTACTGAGGCACAGAACACCCACTGTGTGGGGTGGGCTTGCAGACAAGAGGTTGACCCAGTGAGATGCACAGTAGTTGTGAAGCCACCAGAGAAGTTCTCTGTTTTCCTTCTAAGAGAGAAATGGTGACAGCACAGCAAGAATTACCCTTGTGTTGGAAAGGAACACGATAAAAGGTGCACATGGATGCATTCAGTGTCTCTTGAAATGTAGGAGGAAGCCAGATCCATCTAGAATGTTCTTTTCTCATGTTAAGGGACATTATTTGTCTTCAGTTTGCTAATCTGCATCTTCTTGGTCTACACCACATGCTTAGCCAGCATTTTCTTCCACTCCTTTATTCTGTTCTGTGGTGAGTATCTATGGAATGGGTAGCTCTTATATAATTTATTCTGATGTTTGAGTTGCTGCTTTTAAGGTTTGACATCTACTTCAGTTTCTAATCAGTGTGAATCAAAAGCCCACCGACTAAAGCGAGTCACATGCATTTCTTGTAATTGCAAGGTGCTTCCAGACAATGGGATCTGATAGGCCCGCTCAACTTAGAGTCTGGGCTTGTTGAAGGCAAGAGATGGTTGCAGAGGCATTCTGAAGATAGAACACTTACCCAGGGAAGGGCAGGCCTGCTTTCTCATCTTATTTTGAGGCCCATCCACAGTCACCTTGCATGTTCCACTAACCTGAAAGCATTTACCTCCCTGTGTATAGAAAGCAGTGATGAGGGAGGTCCTTCTATATATATGTTTCTCTTATTGCTTGGTGAATAAAACACTGTTTGGCCAATAGCCAGGCAGAAAGCATAGGCGGGACTACCAAACCAGGAGAAGGCTGGGGAGAGGAAGGCAGAGAGGAGACACCATGTATAGACTGGGAAGATAAGGCCATGTAGAAGTACATAGATTAGAGAGAGCTAGCCAGTAAGAAGCCCTAGCCATCGGCCAACAGTTTATAATTAATATAGCATCTGTGTGATTATTTGGGGCTGAAGGGTGGCAGACCTGGTAGCACAGAAACATCTGTCTTCAGAGCAATGCTTTCATCTCAGAGTTAAATAAAAGGGTTGAAAATGGTTGTTAGGGTACTGGAGAGAGGGCTTGTCAGCTAAGAGTGTGTTCCACTCTTCTAGAAGACCTGTGTTTCATTTCCACTACCCTGATTGGGCAGCTTACAATTGCCTATACCTCCAGCTCCATGGTCCTTCTGCCTTCTCTGGGTCTCTCTCTCTCTCTCTCTCTCTCTCTCTCCCTCTCCCTCTCTCCCTTCCCTCCCTCCCTCCCTCTCCCTCTCTCTCCCTCCCTCCCCTCCCCCTCTCAATAAAAACACATTCTTTTAAAAGATGTGTTGTTATCTCAGTAAGTATTTGTTAGAGTTTGAATTGGCTTTGAAAAATTACACTTAATTTTAAATGGTACACAACATAGAAATTATACATCTTAGGGTAGCACAACCATTTCAATGTTTAAATCAGATTAAGCGTCTGTCTCTTCAAACATCAATCATTTATTTGCCATCAAAAAGAAACTTTCAAAGTTTCCTCCTTCAGCTTTTGAAGTGTGCTGTGCTGCCTTGAGAACTGGTGTTCTTCTGTCTTCTGTCCCAGGTGCTCATGAGAGCTTTAAGAGACTTCAATATGCCTAAAATCGTGACTGATGATGTCCCAGTGTTTCTGGGCCTGGTTGGCGACCTGTTTCCAGCCCTGGATGTGCCTCGGCAGAAGAAACCACACTTTGAGCAGATGGTCAAGCGGTCCACCCTGGAACTCCGCCTGCAGCCTGAAGAAAGCTTCACCCTCAAAGTAAAAGACCTACTGACTGTTGATGGCAGGCCATGCGATTGGTACCCAAACCATTAGCTATATTGCAGGGCTTTAACATCATTCTATTAAATACTTTCAAGAATTTCACATCACATTCAGCTAAAGAACATGTAAGCAAATGCTTCAACATCTAGTCCCTTTCATCAAGGACTTAAAAGCATAAAAAAATGACTTCCACAATTCTAAATATGGAAGCCATACTTTTTAATTAATTACAAAACTTCTTAGTAACACACTACAAATTCTTATTGTGCTCTCTCTTCCTCTACCTCACAGAATACTGAAAGTAAAATGTTCAGTGTATTTTTGTAGGGGGAGAGGTATGTCAGCATGCATGACAGGAAGGCACTGTCTGACGTATCCAAAGCTGTGCCCGGGCAGAGCTGCGTTGTGGTCAGTGAATACACAGGCAATGATGCGTAATAAGTCTGTGTTTCAGGTAGTTTATGTGATGGGACTCATTACTCCCCTGTGAGTCATGATTGCTATACATCATTTCTGCTGAAATCTCTGTGAAGAGTCATTGATTTTATGAGCAACTCTTCATGCCCTCCACTAAGCACCACATAAAGTTATGAAATAGGGACTGGGGCGGTGGCTCAGCAAGTGAGAGGACTTGCTGCACAAACACAAGGACCTAAGGACCTAGGTTTAAATCCACCTACCCATGTGAGAGTCGGGTGTGACTGTGCGTGCCTTTGTCCCAGTGTTGATGGGGTACAGAGACAGGTAGGTTCAGGTAACTCATTATTCTCTAGAGCAGCATTTTTCAATGTGTTGAGTCTTGACCCCTTTAGGAGTCACATATCAGATATCCTGTACATCAGACATTTACATTGCAATTAATAACAGTAGCAAAATTATAGTCATGAAGGAGCAACAGAATGGTTTTCTGGTTGAGTGGGGGGAGTCACCACAACACGAGGAACTGTGTTAAAGTGTCACAGCATTAGGAAGGTTGAGAACCACTGCTCTAGAGAATAAAGTAGGATAGAGCAGGAAAGCCAGCATTAACCTCTGACCTCCACATATATGCATGCATCTGCACCTCACAATTGATGATGATAATGATGACGATGACAATGATGGCTTTGTTCTATTCTCCCTTCTGTATTTTATGTGGGAAACCCACAAGAAGCTATACTGTGAACTTACAGTCCATTTTCCCATATGTCAGCAGGGACTGACTAGGATTTGAGGAGAACACTAAAATGAGTAAGTTTTGACTTTTGGTCACTCAGTCATGAAAGAGCCCGAGTGACAGGCTGTCTGTGTGCAGGTTGTCCAGCTTGAAGAGCTCCTGGCTGTGCGACACTCCATCTTTGTGGTTGGAAATGCAGGCACAGGGAAGAGTAAGGTAGGATAACTCGTGTTGTACCTTTTAGCCTTGGAAGACTCTTCTTGGGGTGGGGGGGCAGTGAGCTTCAGTGTTATTTGGGGTTCCCTTCAACGAAGCATTGAGTTAGAATCTGAAATCTACTGTTGCTCATCAGACACTGTTATCTTTTATATTGGTGAAATAATGTAAAATGGACATAACACACACACACACACACACACACACACACACACACACACACACACACACACGGAATAATAGATTGAGCCAGAGACTAGACTTTCCACACACAGACAGACAGCATTCTGCTGTATTCAGGCCTGCACCTGCATGCTCACACCTGGCCTCTTTGCCAAGGGTGAGAGTGTTCAGCCTGAGTGAGCCACCTGGCTTGTGAGACTTGATGAGCACTGCCTACCTTTATCAAAACAACCTTCTTGTTTCTCTGGGGTCATCACAAATCCTCCTTCCCACATCATTAAGAAAACAAGTGCAAATAATTCCCCTCATTCCTTCAGAGATAGAGTCTTCCCACAGGGCCAAAACAAAGCTTCAAAAGAAAAGAAAGTGGCGGCACCCACATTTTTGAGGTCCCTATTGTGCACTGGGCTAGGTGCATTGTGTGTGATTTTCCTCATCGTGTTGAGATGCCATGCCCACCTAATGTTATTAGGCCCCATTTTTAGTTCACTGCTTGGTTCTGTTTGGCCTTCTTGACAGTCCTGGCAGCACACTTATTTTCTTGGTTGGCAGACGGTGTATGCAGAGCTGTGTGCCTTCCCATTCAGGATGCTTGGGTATAAACACACTTGGTGGCCAACCTCTAAAAATAATCAGAATGGGCAGATGAGTTCTGCAGCATGCTGCCCGCAGCACTTGCCAGTCCTCAGAGCTGAACCCAAAATGGGAAACAATCACTGATGGTGGCTGTGTGTGGAGATTTTTCTAGTGAGAAATGTAATCATCGCAATATTAAAGTAGATTACTGATAGACCTATAATTACTTTGTTAGTGTAACTTTCAGATGTAGGCCATGGTTCATGGAAGGATAAAATTAAATTCTGTAATTTCTAGTAGATTAATGGTTTCTAAAAATATAAGCTGCATATTCCTAAGGCATTTCACTTCTTTCCTCTACTCTTCACCTACTCTGTGCTGTTCAACACATACTTAGGCTGACATAAGCAGGACCATGTTATTTGCCCACTCACCATCCTAAAGTGGATGGCAATATCTAACCAGCCCTTTGGAACCCCTAGGATTGGCAAGGACGATAAATATTTAAAACAGCAAGCTTGGATTTTCCTGGAAAAGTAAAGGACAACTAGAACAGATATTCGGGTCAGTTAAATAGATACCTACCTAGTGAGGTCTTCTTCAGGCTTCTTTTGTTGATTAGCTAGTCTCCAAGCACCCATGACACTATACCCTGGGCATTTGCTTTGATGCTGTCCGGGGCACTGACACCTGTGGAGCCCTGCCCCTGGCCTCTGCCCACTAGATGCCAGTAGCACAGCTCTAGTTTCCCCAAGAACCACACCCTCTGAAGGTTCACTCACTGCTCTGTCATTGGGCCTTGAAGGATGTCTATACCAGCATTGTCGTCATCCCCGAGTTCTTGTTGGAAATGCACACTTCGGGACATCCCTCAGTCTGCTAAGTGTTAAGCTCTGGGAGGGCTTCAGCAATCCATGTTGACAGCTTCTGGGAAATTCTGAGATGGACTAAACGATGCTTGCAGAGTGACCTCATGAACAGAAATGCTCACACACGTTCATGTATAGTTTAAGATCTCAAACTCACTCTATGTCCATAGCTAATTATCTTAGCTAATAAAGCAGCTTCCTCTCATCTAAATGCCTCTGAGAATTGGGTGAACTGATTCTGTCACCCTAAGCATCCATGGGATTGAATTTTACCAGATGAAGATGAGATGTACCCATGTCCACCTTTCCTGCTTTCACCATCGCACACAGGCTATCCAGTGGCACAGGGTGAGTTAGGAGAATGCGTTGTCAATCTTTCACTGTCGGTTTAGCCAACTTTTACATTAATTTTCTTGGCTCACTTGTCCCAGATTTTGAGAACACTGAACAGAACATATGTTAATATGAAACAGAAACCCATTTGGAGTGACTTAAATCCCAAGGCTGTGACAACAGATGAACTCTTTGGTTTCATACATCATGCTACCCGAGAATGGAAAGACGGCAAGTACTGTTACCCTTTTAGCATGCTCAAAAAATGTCTTTTTCTCTATCTCCTTTTAGAAATCTGTCTTTCAGTATAAGCCATAGCCATACTTACAGATCCTGGTCATTGTAGGGATTCAGGCATTATGCTGGCCTGCCCCTGTCACCCTGTCAGCACAGGTGCAAAGGACCCCTTTAGAAGAAAGACCTCCACCCACTTAAGCTCTTTCTGCTCTCTCTTCCCTGTCCTCTCTTTCCCATGTTTCTCCTGGGGCAGACAGGACTTTTCATGTCTCCTTCTTCTCTTCTGTCCTCTCTCTGTGTGTCTTTGTCTCTTTACCTCTTTCCCTCCCCCACCCCACCCCCACCCTTTCTTCCCTTTCTAACAAAACTTCTCACTAAGCTCTGTCTGCCTGGCCTGTTTGTCCCCTGCCTAGGTCACCCTCACTTGACATGGAATCCTCCAAGGTTCACCACACTTTATCATAACAGTCATAGTCACAGATTTTGGTTATAGTCACACATTTTGGTCATAGTCACAGATTAACTGTATTTTGATGCACTCGGAAGTACAGCTGGTCACATGGCCTGTAGAACACTCAAACTCAAGCAAGGTTCGAGGAAATGCTTGTTTGCATTCCCAGGTCCCTGCTCAGAGATGTGTGTTTTACTCACACCAGGGATAGCAGGGCTCCTTGTAAATCAGGGAGAAGTCAGCATGAATGCCCCATTGCTAAAGTTCCCAGGATGAGACACTGACTGAACTCAAGTTGGCATCACAGTCGTCAAACACAGAAGGCAATGGGCTATGCTTCCTGTCTGGAAATTGAAAACATTTTGAGCATTAAGTTTGTGGGTTCTGAATATTTCAGATGTTTGGTTTTTGGAGTAGTGATATCTGGCCAGTGACACCAATGCAGATGTCCCAAAATCACTGAGAGTTTGAAATCGGAAACACTTCTAACCCCAAGTTTTGGGGTAAGGGACATTCAAGCTGTGTCTAGGGATAAGCACATGCTTTTGTTTGAGGCCCTTTTTAACTTCCCATTTCTAACCAGTGTGCCAATCTTGGTGAATCTTGGTGCCCTCTCACTCTGAGTCCTCTGCTAACTGCACAATAGATCAATATATACTATAGTCACCATCTTCAATATATAGACTTGTATATATTGAATATATATTGAATATGTATATATATTAAGTATACACACACACACATATATTGTGGTGACTCGTACCTACAATCCTAGTACTCAGAAGACTACACAATAATAGATCAATAGATACTGTAGTCACCATCTTTAATATAGGGATATGTATATATCAGATATATATTAAATATACATATGTACATATACATTATATACTGCCTGTGCTGACTTGTGCCTGCATTCCCAGCACTCGGAAGGCTGAAGGTTTACAGTGACCTCAAGGCCAGCCTGCATTATATGTGAGTTCTAGGAAAGGTCGGGTTACAAACTGAGACCCTGTGGGTAAATGAAAGAAAGGTGTGGGGAGAGTAAATGAGAACATGGGGGAGAGGAAAAGAAATAAAGAGAAAAGGAAATGTATGTCAAATGTCAGTGTGTCTCCACAGATCAGTGGAAGCCACCCTCTTCCTGGTGTCCCAGCACTTTGCTTAGATATGGAAGTCTGAACCTGCGTCAAGGTGCTACTTCCTGGCTTTCAGATTTCGGGGTGCCCATTACTCTAGGGTCCCTTCTTTCATGGCATACAAGATTAGTGATTATGTCTCCACTCACCTCTAGCCTCATTTCCTGTGCTCAGCACTTCTGGTTACCTCTCCTCTTCCCAAACCCTGCTGTTGCAAGACTCTTCTATCCAAGTCTTGGCACTGGATGCCCCCACCTTCCAGGCACTGTTCTTCCTGAGGATACCTATGGTTTGCTCACTTGCTGAATAAAGTTTGTCAGGTGCCACCTAGAGGACCTGCTTTGCAGTCCAACTCACCGGGCATTTTCCATCCTCTTACCTCATGATCACTGCATCATCTGTTGGGCACTTTTTGCAACCTTTACCTATCTATGGTCTGTTTTTCATGAAGGATTGTAGAAGATATAAAGTCATTGTCACCATACTGGGAAACCTGTGAAAGCTGCTTGAATTGAAAACCATCAGAAAAGCTGCTGACTTCTATTTCAGTCATGGTGGCCAGTTTTACTCACTGCTGTTTTTTGGTTTTTGTTTTTAATGATTGTTCCTTTGGTTTTTGGTTTTTAGAGACAGGATTTCCCTGTGTAACAGCCCTGGCTGTCCTGGAACTCACTCTGTAGACTAGACTGGCCTCAAACTGCCTCCCAAACCCAGCTGTGTTTTTTTTGTTTTTTGGTTTTTTTTTTTTTTTTTTTTTTTTTTTTTTTTTTTATACCAAAGACTTCACAGAGGAATTCTCCATGGGACCACTGAGGCAGGTTTGCTGAAGTTTGAAAAGCCAGCACCTATAAAATGTTGCCTGAACACACAGACATGTGATAACAGCAAAAAAGAGTGCTTTTTCTGCATCTCAAGTCACAACAGCCTAACATAGTTCTCGTGAATGGAGCTGCAAAGTAGATGGATAGCCCTTTGAAGCATGGGGTTTCAAAATATGTACCTTGAATAATGTAATAGAAAAATGGAGTAATATAAAAATATAATAAAAACGGTGAACTGTGCTAGGCAGTCTAAGATAGATACTGATATGTGTGTGAAAAGGTATGGTGTCTTCACTTGCTGTAAGTTTTCAGTTTATGTTCATAACTGCCCATAAATCTCAGTAATGGTTCTTCAAGGAAGACATTTTCCTATGCATGACGGGTGGGAAAGCTCACTTATCGAAGGTAAGGACCCTCCCCTGGAGGTGGAACTAGCCTGTTTGTAAGTAGTGGAACTAACTGGATATAGAGTCTACCTAGAAAGCTCAGAAAGAGCCTGTTGTATGCCGTGCATGAGAAAGAGGCCATTGTATGCCACTCATGAGGAAGAGGTAACAACTCCCTTTTATTTAGCTGGTAAAGGAGCTTCTAGGAGAAATAAATGTATTTTTGAGACAAACAGCCCTCAGCTGTATTAGCGACATTTGTTCCGTCTTTAACAGGTATCCTCTCATCCATTCTGCGAGAGCAAGCAAATCTCAGGCATGACGGGCCAACCTGGATTGTCCTGGATGGGGACATTGACCCCCTGTGGATCGAATCCCTGAACACAGTCATGGATGATAACAAGGTGAATGAACAACTCTGCAGTGCCTCTCCAACGCCCAACATCCCAACGCCCAACATCCCAACATCCCAACATCCAACACCCAACACCCAACACCCAACATCCCAATGCCCAACATCCCAACACCCAACACCCAACGCCCAACATCCCAACATCCCAACACCCAACACCCAACACCCAACACCCAACGCCCAACATCCCAACACCCAACACCCAACACCCAACGCCCAACATCCCAACATCCCAACGCCCAACATCCCAACAT